ACTTCCATCACATGCTGTCAGGCCGACAATTGGCACTGATCTATGAGCCAGTAAGCGACCGTGCTTTAAAATCAGGGGAAGGTGCTAGGCATCCCTCATTAGGCTTATCGGAGGGTGAAATACACGTGTTTAAGGAGAGCTGTTTGGAGATCTCTGTGCGTGAATAATACAAAATATGAAGTGTTGCTCGTGGTTATGTTTGGCTCTGTGATCCTAATTTCAGTCTCTTCTTCTCCCTCGGTTTCCACAGTTCCATTTCGAGAAAGAAATGTCACCTCAAAACTAAATCCAACTGAATACTTTTCCCATCTCCTTTCTGTAGCTTTCTCAAATATTTGTGAAAATGATGAAAGCACCTCCTTTGCAAAGCCTTACACTTTCTGAAACATGTCTTGTTTTGTTTCTGTAGCCAGCAGGGTGCCTTAGGCCCAGCAACAAAGAACAGTTACATGATCTTAAGTAGCAAAATTATCCATTGCCAAGAACGTGATTCAAGCTCAGAGTCTGTTCAACTTTGTCTGTGTTATACTGCCATACTTCACTGCTTAGGATCAGATCTGGATTAACTTTTACTAATGATTGCTGTTCTCTTTATTACAATATTGCTGCTGAAGATACAAGGTTTTTTAGCTATCATTTCTCCTATAAATTAGAGAAAGGACATGACTGCTAAGACTACTTGGAATGCTGCTTTATTTTCAAATAGGGAGTTGTTTCTTTTATCTCCTGATTCAGTAACTCATGCCTGTTCTTCCTTTCCAAAGACCTTGTCTGGAAAAGGGTGCCCTTCTTCTCACTTTCATTAATTAACCCCATGATAAGTATGGGGCTTATACTTTTGTACACCAGTGTACAAATTTTTAATGTCTACGTCTATTTTCTGCCTTTTTGACTTGGTTATGATACATAATAAATTGGCAGCTACATGTAATTGGTTACCAAAGAGTAAAATTGCTAATAATTTGGTACCATCCCCACTTAATATTAAACATAATAGTTCTTTGGTTTTGTACAGCTATTGATTTCCCCTATTTAAGGTATGCACATATATATTTCAACAGCAGATCTCTGCGTTTTTACCCTTTGGGGTTTGATTTTTTACACCTCATAGTATATTTGAAGCTGCACTTCTTGTAGCTTCAGTACTGCATACTCCCACATCATAAACTAAAATGGACTGGTGAGCTTTGCAGCTATAGGGCAACACTTCTCAACAGAAAAATAAAGGGGAGGGGTTGGGGGATGAGGAGGCATTTTCAATTAATTTAGTCTCCTAACATTCCCATGAAGGAGATGTCTCTTGTCTGCATGTGAGAGATTGAAACAGCCTGAGCAGTGGAAGGATGGAGCTGGTTTCTTCATAAAAATACTCACCGAGGTTCAGCATCAGGCTGAAATGCCCTGAGCCTTTCCCGAGCATACTGATATGCCTCTAATTATTCTGCATGCTGTAAGCTCTCTGCAGCCTTGAAAAGAAAGGTATGAAGATTAAAAAATGAAAAAGAAAGAAAGAAAGAAAAGAAAGAAAAGGATGAAGAAGCATTTGTGTGTGAGTGACTGCATCTGAAAAGTCTCCGATTTAGTGATTTCAAAAAGGGCTCTGAAGGACCGTGGTGGATGCATGGCAAGCCTCATGATGGCATCTCAAAGTATCCTTCCTTTGCCCAGCCCCTTACTCAGTGTGTAGTTGGATCAATAGAATCAATAGAGGGGGAGGTGGAGTGGAGTAAGGGGGGGCAGGTTGGGTGGCTGGAGAAAAAGAAAATCTGTGAAATCCCATCCCAAAATTGCTGTAAAGGTGAAAGTATTGCAGCCCCTCGGGAGTTGGATGCTAGCAGATTGAGGAGGGCATCCAGAAACAGCAAGCTTTTTTTTTTTTCCCCACCAAAATGAAAGCAAGGAAATTCAAGTAAGGAAAATAAATACTTCACAGAAACAGTTCAAATGTAGCACTCAGAAAATGACCCCAGGACCTGGATATCCTGCAGAGACAAGAGCACGGGGACAGGAGCACAGCATAGCAGTGCATTCTGCTAACCAGAATTCTTAAGGTGTCTGTGTAGAACTGTTGTGTGTGTACCCATACTTACATAGGTATGGATAATGGATATATATGGCTAAATGGGGTGATATGTGAAGGTATATATATGTGCACAGTAGCCTAATGGAATAAGTTATATGGATTTTAACTTCTTTTCTCCTCCTAGGCCCTTCCATACAGGGTGCTTCGGTTTAACAGTGTTAGTCCCCATGAATTTAAACGATTTGCTGAAGGTCTTTTCTGATCGCTGACCTCCAAGAAACAGGAAAGGACTCAATCCTATCCCGAAGGCAAAGGGGAAAATATTTCAGCACCGCATCATTCTGCCTTAATTGAGGCTGCATTCTGGAACAGCTCCTTTAGAGTCGGATGTGCTCCTCATTTAAATAAACCCAGGGAGTATATTTGAATAAAGTGCAACAAAACAAGATAATCTGTAACCCTTCAAGGACCTACACTTTCTTTCAACGTTCTTTTTGTGGTTTGGGGGTTATTCTGATAGTTTTACGAACCTAACTCTCCGTCTCACCAGCCTGCTGCTTCTGCAGCTCTATCTATCAGATAACACCTGCAGGGCTCCGGGACCCATTCGGAAATCTGTCCCACGCACGACCGAAACACCCCGCAGCTCTACACGGCGGCGTTCCTCGGCGCGGCCCCGGAGGGGCAGCAGGAACCGAACCGAATCGTAGTTGGGCGGGGGACGATGCCCGACCCTCCGGGAGGGGAGATCTGAAGCAGGGGCGATGACAGGGACTGCGTCCCGAGAGTTTGGTTGGCGGCTGGGACGGCAGCTTTAATTTGCGGGTGGAATCGCTGATTTTGCGCGCCGTGCGGGCTGCGTGACACAGCGCCCAAATGGTGGTCCGCGCTCTCCAAACCCGGCCAGGCGAAATGCAGTGAAACCCGGCCCCGGGTTCTGCCCCGACAGCCACCGGGCCGGTTAGGAGCTGCGGGACCCCAGGCTGGGGTTGAGGCGAGGCGGGTCCGAGCTGATCTTGAGGTACTTCGTTCCCTGCAGAGAACCGCAGGGAAACCGTAATTCGTTAGGAAAACTTAATGCCGAGTGCCTTTCGATCCGAACCGTAAAGCTCTCAGTTTTGCAGGACGGCCACGGGTTTCCGATCCCTCCCCCGTCCCGGTTCCCTGCTCGAGGGAAATCCGAGCGGCGTCGGGAGGTGTCTGCCCGGCTCTGCCTAACGCGAGGTCAGGGAAATTCTGGAGGAAAAAAATGCAGCGGCCTCGAACTGAACGGCACCTGCCCTACAAGGCTGCTTCAAATCGTGGCAGTTCTGTTGTAAAATTGATTCCCTCAAACCCTACCCAGCAGCCTTGCAAAACCTCCTCCACCTCTGCCCCAGCCCCGGAGATGGGCAGCCTGACGGAGCGGCCACGGGCAGGGGAGCGGCAGCTGAGCTTCAGCGGAGCTTCGGCGGGTCGCTCCCCATCCCACCTTTCCGTTCAGCCTCGGAGCGGGGCTGCCTGGCGGGCGCTGCCCCCCTGCCGGAGCTGCACGGGGAAGGGGCAGCAGCGCCGAGCGGCCGCACTGCTCCATGCAGAAGCTCCGATGAGCGCAGGACACTTTTTTGTCGTGTCCCTCGTTCGGACGCAAAAATTGGGAATACCGTTATCCCGGAGAGAATAGGTGGGTAGGTGCCACTCGGTGCCACCAGCCCTCCCCTGGCTCCTCACATGCGTATCTGCGTGCCCGCAGCCGGAGGCGGGCACAGCGGGAGCTGCTTCCCCCGGTCCCTCGCTCCGCTCCGGGGCACGCAGCGAGCCCCCCCGACCGCCCAACCGCTCCTCGGCTCCGGGTCCCGCGGCTCGGTTAATTATAGGCTATTAATCGCGGCGGCCCCGGTGAGGCTCCTCGGAGCTCAGCGCGGGGAGAGCCGCGGAGCTCCGTCCCTACCCCGCGCCTTTCCACCCGGCAACGAAATCCCGGCTGCGCCGTGGGTCTCCTTTACGTTGTGCCGCGGTGAGGGGGCAGGGATTCCGCAGAGCTCCCCGCGAAGCGCCGGGCTGCGGGGAGAGGGCGAGGGGCTGCGCTTTGGGAGCAGCGAAGTCGTTCGTGCCAAACCGCACGGGCGCGTCAGTATTCCTAAATATCCGCTCCCCTGCGCTTCGGAGCAAAAGGTTCCCCTTCGAGAAATGCGCGGAACTGATTGGTTCCACGGCTCGGGATCTGGCACCCAACCGAACCCGCCCTGCCTTCCCGGACGGGGATGCTGAATGGGAAAGCGCATTGCGAGAATCCTCCACCGAGTTCCCGAACACTGAACTTGCAGCCCGGCTTCCAAGGAGACTCCCACATTAACGTGCCACTTCCCCGGGACTGATGCCGCCCGGGGAGCGAACAGAGGCCGGCGGCCGCTCAGCGGGGCTGAGGCGCAGCCCCAATTTTTCGAACGGCGGCACGGCCCCAGGGGGTCTGGGGGGTGGCCGCCCCGTCGCAGCGGTCCGCCGGGTGGCCGTCCTCCATCCCTCCCTCCCTGCTGAGCTCTGGTGTTAGCTTCCATCCCGATTTCCCTCTGGACCCCCAATTCCTGCTGTGCCCGAGCCTCGTGCGCCCGTTGTCACCCAGATCAGAGATGGTGGTTCGTTTTTTTATGTGTTTTTCCTTTTTTTTCGGGGGTGGGAGGGTGGGATGGGAGGGGGGAGCCGGGCTCGCCGCGGGCTCAGCCCTTCCCCGGAGCGGTACGGGCGCTGGGCAGACCCGCCGGCTGCGGACGGGGGGGTCGAGGAGCGGGGGGACACGCGCACCAGAGTCACAGGTGACTTGTTCCAATTAGTAGCTGTCTAATTAAATTAGTGTCACCCGGCCCAGCCAATGGGCCGGCGGGGGTGGAGGGCGGTGAGGAGGCAGCTCGGCACAAGCCCCTCCCCGGCGGCCCGAGCGGCCCGGCGTGCCGGTATAAATGGGCTCGGCGGAGCCTCAGCGCAGCGCTGCGCGGCCGCGGGTCGGGGCCGGCATCGGGTACTGCGGGGGTTGTGCAGAGCCGCCGCCGCCCGCCCGCAGAGGATGCAGCTGGGAGAGCCGCTGCTGGCGGCGGCGGGGGGGGCCCTACCGGGAGCCCCCTTTTATCCGCTGGAAGGCGGCGGGCGCGGCGGAGGGACCGGAGCCGGAGGAGGCGGCGGAGCCGGGTCCCGAGGGCCGCCCCGCCCGGGCTCTCCGGCGCATCTCGACCTGGACAAGGCGGCTAAGAAGTTCGCGGCGGCTCCGGCCATGCTGGGCGAGCCCGACGGGGGGGAGCCGCCCTTCTCCGCTCCGAAGCCGGACGGCCGCAAGACCACCCCTTGCGGGGAGGAAGAGCTGCCCCCGGCCGCCGCCGCCCGCTACTCTATGGACAGCCTGAGCCCCGAGCGCTACTACCTGCAGTCCCCCGGGCCGCCGGTCACCGAGTTGGGGGGGCCCTGCGCTCTCTTCCCGTACCCGCCCGCCGCGCAGCACGGCGCCGTGTACCAGGCGCCCGGCGGGCCGCGCTACCCCTACGGCTCCGTGCTGTCCTCGGGCGGCTTCGCGGGCGCCGTGTGCCCGCCCGGCGGCAGGGCGCAGTTCGGCGGAGGCGGCGGGTACCAGTACGGGCAGGCGGCGGCCGGCGGAGCCCTCTACGGTCCCTACCCGCCGGCCTCGGGTTCCTGCGGAGGGCTCGGGGCGCTGGGTGTGCCGGCGGCCGGGCCCGGGCTGCGGGCACAAGTCTTCCTCTGCAACCGGCCGCTCTGGCTCAAGTTCCACCGGCACCAGACGGAGATGATCATCACCAAGCAGGGCCGGTAAGCGGATGGGGGAGACTGCGGAGGGAAAGGGAGGGAGAAGGGGCCGCTCGGGAAATACTACGGCCCGAGCCCTCTCCCCGGGCCGTCCCGCATGCCTTACGTTTTTCTCCTCTCCCCAGGCGGATGTTTCCGTTCCTGAGCTTTAATATTACCGGCCTCAACCCCACCGCCCACTACAACGTCTTCGTGGAGGTGGTGCTGGCGGACCCCAACCACTGGCGCTTCCAGGGGGGAAAATGGGTGACGTGCGGCAAAGCCGACAACAACATGCAGGGTAAGTGTGGGCTTCCCTCCTGTTCTGCTTCCTAAGAAGGCTCCCGATGCGGGAGGAGCTGCGCTCTTAAGGCCGCTTTGAGACTCTCGTACGGGACGGGGACACCTGGGGGTCGCGGTGAAACAAAGCCCCGTGTTGTGCCCGGCTGCTCACCGCCGCGGTGCTCTCCCCCAGGCAACAAGGTGTACGTGCACCCCGAGTCGCCCAACACCGGAGCGCACTGGATGCGGCAGGAGATCTCTTTCGGCAAGCTGAAGCTGACCAACAACAAGGGAGCCAACAACAACAACGCGCAGGTGAGTGACTGTGCTCCCGGGAGCCGTGTCGGTGGTGCCGTGTGGCAAACAGAGCTGCTGCATCACTGCTCTGCCTTGTTCCTTTCTTAGTGGATTGTTAGTCCCTTACGCCTGTAGTTGTCTTTAAAAGGAGAAGCAATGTCAGAAGTAAAAGTGTAAATTTCTATCTTTGGCCAATATTTTCTTCAACTCAGCGTTGCTCAAAATGTAGCAGTGTAGCTGATGGCTCTCGATTTCCTGCATTTACAGGACCTGGCATATTAGCAACCTACACAGGCTGTAGCCCTTTGTTTCATTTGATAGCAGTAAAAAACCTCCATTCCCAAGATGAGGTCAATCTTGCAGCCTGTGAATGGTGATGCGGGGTGTAGTTTCTTAACGTTATCTCCTACTCTTTCAGATGATAGTCCTGCAGTCTCTACACAAGTACCAGCCTCGGCTTCATATAGTGGAAGTGACTGAAGATGGTGTTGAAGATCTGAATGATTCTTCAAAGACTCAAACGTTTATTTTCCCCGAAACGCAGTTCATAGCAGTTACAGCCTATCAAAACACCGATGTAAGAATGGGTTGTACAAAATGACAAGAATATAATGAAGTGTCGAGAGTTCAGCATGTCAACTCACTGTGCTCTGCTTTCATTTTTAGATTACTCAGCTCAAAATTGATCATAATCCTTTTGCAAAGGGCTTCAGAGACAACTATGACTCGTAAGTATGCCTCTCTTTGTAGCTTTCTGGGTTGGCACAGTTCTGCCCTCAAATGCTTTTATATGAAGAGGAAAGCAGGAACTTGGAGATGCTGCTTAAGTTATTTAGGAGTAGAAATACTATGATTTCGCTAGTTCATGCACATTTAGAAGTTAAATATGTCTAGAGATATAAATGGCCATTTAACTATTTAATATACTGTCTCAATCATGTTTGCTAGCAGGATTCTGTGCTCTTGTTAAATAGCCCAGCAGAACTTTGCTGGCCTTCAGGCTGGCAGTAAAGCATCTGCTGTTGGTATGACAAAATAGCCATCTTCCAACTGTAAGGAAGACTTTTGCCTAGCGAGCAATTTCTGACATCAAATGGCCTTTTGAAAAACCATGGTACATATACGCAAATCTGGCTTCTAAAAGCGCTGCCTTTCATTTAAGGTGGCTTGGCTGGCAGAAAACAGTGGGTATGTGTAACAGCAGCATTCTGCATTTTCTACTGCTCTAGGAAAAGCAGCATCAACTCCGAAGGCTGATAGAATGTCCAGATAAACGCGGTTGTGACTCTTGTTAAGAACAGCTGCTTTCTTCCTGTTTGTTTTCTAATACCATATTTGGAATTGTAAAGAACTCTCAGTGTTTCTCTTTTATGTTGTAGCATGTACACAGCTTCAGAAAATGACAGATTAACTCCATCTCCCACGGATTCTCCTAGATCCCACCAGATTGTCCCTGGTGCCCGATACAGCGTGCAGCCATTCTTCCAAGAACAGTTTGTCAACAACCTGCCCCCCACCAGATTTTACAACGGCGAGAGAACCGTCCCGCAGACCAACGGCTTGCTGTCCCCGCAGCAGAGTGAAGAGGTGGCCAGCCCTCCCCAGCGGTGGTTTGTTACTCCCATGCAGCAGCCCAGTGCCAACAAACTGGACATGAACTCCTATGAGACGGAGTATTCTCCTAGCACCTTGCTCCCCTACGGCATTAAATCCCTTCCTCTTCAGACATCCCATGCCTTGGGGTACTACCCTGACCCAACGTTTCCGTCTATGGCAGGCTGGGGGAGTAGGGGCTCCTACCAGAGAAAAATGACCACAGGATTACCTTGGAGCTCCAGAACAAGTCCTCCGGGCTTCTCTGAAGACCAGCTTTCCAAGGAGAAGGTGAAAGAAGAAATTGGCTCATCCTGGATAGAGACTCCACCCTCCATCAAGTCTCTAGATTCCAATGATTCTGGAGTCTACACAGGTGCTTGTAAGAGAAGGCGGCTCTCCCCTAGCACTTCGAGCAATGAAAATTCCCCATCCATGAAATGTGAGGACATTAATGCTGAGGACTATAGCAAAGACACTTCAAAAGGCATGGGCTACTATGCATTCTATACCAGTTCATAAAGCATCCTTTTGTTCCAATTGGCTATTTTTTTTTTTTCAGGGTGGCCTTTGTTTTCTTTCTTTTGCATTACGATTGCCAAAAAGACTCTTGCCTTCCACCTTAAATTGTCATGTGCAATTCTAAAGAAGGTGCCAAAGCTTTTAGACTGTTGCAGGTAATTAAGTAGGAAAAGCAAATCACAGTATGATTTTTCTCTTAGAAAAAACAGCATGTGGAAAAGCTGTAAGCAGGAGCCTAGATTTCTACAAGGTGGTTTATTTATTGAAGACACTGAAGTGTACAGTTTGGCTTGGCTCAGAGGCCTGATCAAATCCATACACTGAGTGAGGAGATAGCAGTCGGATTCCAAATTTTACTTTCTTCCCTGCCTTGCCCCTCTGATAAAGGGCACTGGGATGGGGGACTGCACATGCTGTTTTAAACAGAACTGTTTTCTTCAACTCTTGTTTGCGGATTAGTTGGCTGAGTTGGGCAATGCTCAGCTAAGGCTTTCTTTAGCAGAAGGTGGTTAAAATAAGGCCTGCTCCAGGCAGGAGTTTAACTTGAAGGTCTTGCTGCTAGCAATGCTTCTACAATGGCCAAATCTGACTTTTAAGGAAAACATGCCTCTATCCCGGAAGCCTAACCTTTACTGAGGTGGCAAAAAAAATCCAAGTGTACAGTTGTGTTTTGTCTAGGTACACTGTAGAATATTGTGGAATAATATATAAATAGTTGACCTATAGCTGTTCAGTCAGAAGGACCTCCGGTGGTGCTTTGAAGTTCAAAATGCATTTTATTTTTTTTGTTAATCAAACTTAGCACATGGAGCATTGCAAAGAGCATTAGCAGATTTCTATTTGTGTATGTAAAGTGACTTTCAGCTGCCCTGTATCAAACTGGAAGTGATGTAACCTGCCCACTCTTCTTGCCTATAGTTTCAGCCATTTTAAACGGATCAACCCCAGAGCACTGGCACACAAAATTCTCTGGTGAAACTTGGTTCTGCTTTTATATGTACATAGTAGTAATTTTTAATAAACGTGGTGGTGCCAGGGACGAGAGTGTGGGTGGCATCTGCTTCTTTGCCTCTACCAGGCTGGGGGGGAAGAGGGAGCACAAAGCTGTGCGTGCTGCATGGCTGAGGACTGGTGGGTTGTGATGGCTCTTAACTCCAACCACATTTTGCAAAGTTTCTCCTTGCTGTTTTGTCTTGCAGCGTGCAGACGAGGACGGTGCTAGTGATACTAATGTTACTTCTTTCAGTTGGGGATTTTTCTCGTTTCTCTTGTCTTTCTGGATAAAGGAAAGGACTCTGATCCCGTCCTTGTTTGCTGCCAGCCCTGAGGCTCTTTTCCCCTACGGGGGGCCAAGTACGAGCCCAGCCCGTCCCGAGGAGCTGCGTACGGCTCTGGCTCTGCCCCCGCCTCTTCCCGGAACGCGTTAAAGCCTCCCCCGAGCCCTTATCTGGGGAGAAAGCTCCTCCTGGCAAGGTGATTGAAAGCCGGCTCCCGCGGCAGCATCACCTTTCCTGAGGAAATGCAGGCGGTAATGGGATTAAGCTGTTAGCGATGTCTGCCGCAAACAAAACAATGCGAAGACTCGGGCTGGAGGAGTTAGCGCAATTGAGGAGGGCTTTCGCAGCGGGCTCCTCCTCGCTGGGGGAGAGGAGCGTCTTCCCGAAGAGATTTCTGACGGCGAGTTCGGTGCACTTCCAGCGAGCCGTATTACCTATTCGGGACGGGAAGAGTCTTGCCGAATTACTTTCAGCGACGGCGGGAAGAGCTTTTTCTTTTTAATTTATTTTTTTTCACCCCCTCTCCTTTCAGTGGGGATAAACCCGTTCCTCATGCCCTGCTTTCATCCCCGTGCACAGCGCACCGCAGTCGGGGAGAGTGGTTCCTTCGCTGTGTGGCACTGGCTGAGGGCTGTATGTATAAGTTGCAACTCGCGATTAAAAAAAAAAAAAAGCAAGAAAAGAAAAAAAAAAGAAAAAAAACTTGTGAAAAGTCCTCACACTATTTAATAGAAACATAAGTGCCTGGCTGGCCCCAATTAACACCTTGTGATTATAATGCATTCCTAAAACGGGGTGTCAGACGCCAAATTGTGAATAAAGGCAGCTAATTAATCTTCATAGGATGACACCGATAAACAACTCAATATTTAAATAAAGATCAAGGAGCCGGACGCCTATTTGTTTATATTAGCGGAAGATAAAGTTAACTACCTTTGCGCTTTGCTTCGTAACGCCATTTAATGCGGCAAACAGCAGAGAGCCTCGACCCTGGGCTGCCGGCTCCTTATCGCGGAGGGGGAAGGACGGGGGGGGGCCAGGATTGTCCCCCGATCCGGACGGGCAGCGCTGCGAGGACGCCCGGCCACCGGGAGCAGGGCTGGGGGGGATGAGCGCTGCGCCGGGGGTCCCGGGGTCCCCTCCTCCGCTTTCCCCACCCCTGCAGCACGCTGCTAACGATTTGAGGCCGTTTGTTGCGATTTAACGATTATCTCACGTATTTGTCCGTTATTCGAGGGGAGATGCTTCAGCTCGGTGTTTATATTTATTTTAACAGCGTGAGCGAGCAACGGTAGATCAGAGGGGTTCTTCCCAGGGCTGAGCAGGATGGAGACCTCTCGTCGGTGAAGAATTTGGGGATTTTTCGTTAAAGCAACCCCGCTCCTCCTCTTGGCTCGCTTTCCCAACGAAACTTTGCCTCTCGCTGCTCACCCCACACTTCACCGCCGACATTTCGCACCCTTCGGGGAAAACAAAACGACCCCAAGCCCTATCCCTTCCGACGGCTCTTCCCCTTGTCGGGAGAAGGGCCGCCCTCCCCAGGAAGAAGGAGCAAGATTATCGTTGTTCTTGTTGTTTTCTTTTCGAGTACGTGACAAAGGTTTTACTTTCAGTCTGAATTTCTGCCACCCTGCCTCATCCCCAACGCCGGGTTTTCACAGCCCGCTCGCTGCTTTTCGCCTCCCCTTTGCTGCTTTACGAAGCTCCCTCAGCCGCTGCCGCCCTCTCCTCAGGGCCGTCTCAGGGCGGCCAAGCCGCACTAAGAGGGCCATGAGAAGAGGGCGGCGTTGGAGGCCGAGGAGGGGATTCACCCTCTGTGGTATTCCGCGGAAATGCCCCATTCCGGCCCGGGGTGCAGAGAAAGCCGGCAGTAAGTGGTAGGGGCAGCCCCACTCTACGGAGAAAATGGCACTGAAGTGATGGAGCAGGGCTTGGCGGCACCTCCTCTGTGCCATCCATCCCACGGAGCTGGGGTTTGCCACCATCGATGCTGGTTTTCTTTCTTTCTTTCTTTTCTCTTTTTTCGTTCATTTGTTTGTTTCCTCTTCATCTTCCCCTCTTTTTTCTTTTTTTTCTTTTTGGACCTTTTCCCCTCTGCTGAAGTATCCAAAGCTCGTTCCCCACCTTCCAAAACAGCCGCAGCCTTCTTTGTAATAATAATATCTCTAATATAAATGTTGATCTAATCCTTATTGGAAGGATTTTAGTGCTTGCTGGGTATGGCAAATAAGTAATCCGGGGGCGAATGCCATTAGGCTGAAAGTGTGGAGTGCAAAATATGATTTGAATAAAGTGATAGGGTGGTATCTAATATTTCCTTTAGGGAGTACTATACTCCGAGCTGTCACAACCAATTGTGTGAATAGACGAGACTGAGGGATGTGATCCTAATCATATTGATGAAACATTCATCTGAAAGACTGAGCGCAACCAGAAGGGACTCACTTGGAATACAATTAAATCCTAATCTGGGGAGGAGGAATCCTCTGCAGGCTTCCCTCTAACCTGCCACCTTCTCCCTCCTTTTCATTTTGGAGTTAAATAAGAGACAGAGAGAGAGAGGAAATAAAGACGCAGAGTGCTGGACCATTTGCCTGCCCGAATGACTGAACTGATGCAGGGAGTTCTGGTTGGGAAGGAGGTCAGTCTGCAGACCTGACCCTATGGGGAACAGTAAATAAAGGCCTGATTTTGCTCACATGAGTAGCTACCTACCTGCTGAGGGTTCCCACATGTGAGTGGTGTTATTTGGCTGCAGAAGGCATGTGTGCTAGGAGAAGTCCCTCTCTGACCACCAGTTCAGCCACAGGCTTGTAAGTAAAGTTGTTGTATGCTGTTTAGTTTTCATCCACAGCAAGTAGATGATTTATTGCTGATTGACAGTATTTAGTAGCAAAGGGGTAGTTTTTCTGTCTCGACTATTTTGTTTCTGTTGGGGCCTTCTTGTCACGGTCTCAGACTGCCTTCCAGGGTTGTACAGCACACAGGGTGAAAAGACAATAGTCTCCCAGTCCTCCTCATACTTGGTGATATCCCCTTGGATCGTGATAGAGACAGCTGAAGTTAATGCTATAAGAAGAGTGACCTATTTTGATCATTACTTTCTCAGATCTTACTCTGAGAAAGTGGATGGTATCTGTAACAATCCAAAAGCCAGACTGGCTGCTTTTTATCACCTATTGCTCTTGGGGAAGGTGCTGAACAGGTGCACTTTCCTAATGCATACCACCTTTTGGCTTAGGCCATTAAAACTATGAATGCCTGAATTCACATAGTGATATTTTAAACTGGAAAAGCAGTCCTTGTTCTTCCTCCTGCTACTTTATGAAGTCAGGCTTCCTTTGAGTTTTTAAAATCTGAATCTGTTCTGATGTTTTTAGAGCTTTTTCAAAACCAGATGCTCTTTTATCAGCAAGACTACAGTGAGTTCTTTCAGTGTGGAGTGTTCTCTGTGCAAGGACAATTTATAGCTCTCTTTTAATGGGGTGTGATAACTGCAAACGAGGAAAGGATGCATATGTGGAGTAGGAAGACAGCTAACAAATCTGCAGCAGGAGCTCTGAACTTGCCATGTCAGTCCACGTTCTTTTCCACAGAGGTATGAGCTCTGCAGGCTTATGGTTTATGGAAAGACGTTTACTGTTGAAGTAGGCTTTATTACTTCAGTGTAGTGTTTGTAATGTAAAGAAGTATCATTTTAGCAGGTTTGTGAATGCACTTCATGTTAGAACTCATTTACACTTTGTCTATATATATTGAGCACAAGGGATCCAGTTCCGTTATGATTTATTCTAGTTTTCTTACTTTGGGGTAAGGATTTTATAGTCCGCATTGGGCATTAACTGTTAAACTTCATGGAACTGTTATGATCACTTTTGTTTATAGAGCAACACAATATGTGAAAATTCCTTGACATAACTGCAAATTTCTTTTGGGGATGAAAACAACCCACTTTTATTTTTAACTTGGACTGTTTGTTTGTATGCTCAAGAATAGCAAGCAGACTGATTTTAGGGGCTTATCTTTGTGTTCACAAAATTGTTTATAATAGTCTCCTATTCTTCTGGGGAGAAAAACTCTTCAGAAATTGACCTACTTGTAATGTGCTAGTACTTCTTTCTTTTGATAAATTCCCAATGGCAGAAATATTATTACTTTAAATACTCTCTCCTATTAAATCTTCTCTTAGCTTCCTATAACGAGTAGGAATATGTGACAATGATATTCTTATTATGACTGAAGTCAAAATTTAGGCAAGCAGAGCTCTTAAACTGTTTCTTCAGAGGATGTGTCAACACACAAGATGAATTCTCAGCAGCTCTTCGCAGTAGCAGGGAATCCTCTCATACTCCAAATAAGACAAAGCCCTACCTGTGTAGTCTCGTTTCCACTGATACATAAAAAGTGTCTTATTTTTCAGTAGCTTTGGTTTTTTAAGTCTCAAGATTATTGTTCAGCAAAATATTTTTTACTAATATCTCTTGTTATTTTTTTCTGTGAAGGAAGGATTTTGCCTTGCTGCTTTTATATTGAAGTTCCTTCTTAGGATCATTTGAGGGTAACAATCAGATGATTTTTATTTTTGTCAGATTTGTTGTTGTTTTCTATTTCTTTGGGGGGGGGAATATCTTTGATACAGAAGAAGAATTATGGCTGAGTCTATTTTTTTTTTTTTTACTTGCAATGTTCCTAAATTTTGTGCCAGCAGCGATCTGAAAAGCAGACAAATCCACCCTATAAAGGTCAGTTTGAAATCTGCAATTAATTT